CGGGTTTGCTTGTTGAGATTGTCGACCCATTTTTGCTGCATCCACCGTTTACTCACACTCGCTGCCACGCCCACCCTCTTCCTTGCCCCAACTTCCATCCACACTCGCCCTCCTCCCACATTCCCTGTCCTCTCTTGACCACCCTCCGCCACACCAACCCTCTTTCTTTTCCCCACCTTGTTCTCACACTCATTCCCAGCCTCTCCCAGACCCATTTTCCTCCTTCCCCTACCCTCCTCCTTTCCCCACCCGCCACCTTCCCCACTCTCCTTCCCCCACCCTCCTCCTTCCCCCACCCTCTTTCCCCCACCCTCNCCTGTAGATTACCTGTAGATTACCTGTAGATTACCTGTAGATTACCTGTAGATTACCTGTAGATTACCTGTCTCACTCATCCTCTCTCGTTCCTTACAGACGCGTTGCTGCGGCGAGGGTTCCGCTCACTGTGGGATGGCTTCATGTTCAACGTCATCATCAAGAAGCGCGGCCGCATCCCCGCCAGCGACAGCTTCGTCGCGCGCCGCGTCGCTGGTCCTGGCCTAGCCTCCAACTACTACTATCAGGTGTGTGCTGCCGCTGTCTTGTCTCGCCTAGTTCTGTTGAGCTACTACCGTGTGTATGCGTGTGCGTGCGCATGCACGTGTGCGTGTGCGTGCATGCGTGCGTGCGTCCGTGCATGCATGTATAGAATGACTGCGTGCGTGCATGTGTACGTGCATATGTGTGCATGGCTGCGTGCGTGCGTGCATAGAGTGACTGTGTTTGTGTGTGTGTGTGCGTGCGTGCAGGTATCTGCTGTTCTTTTCTCTCATGATGTCTTGGAAGGCGCCCGCCTCGTGAGTTCTTGCTATGGGTTGCGTGTTGCTGGCTGCACACTCTCTCTGCAGTGTATGCGGTGCTCTAATCAACAGGTATGTAAACAGGTAGACAGGTATGTAAACAGGTATGGTCTCGTGCTTTGACAGGTGAAGCCGGAACAGGTGCTAGCTGCGTTTGAGGCTCGCATGGAGCTGGATGAACTACACGCGTACAAGGAGGAGGTAGAGAGAGTCATCGCCCGCCCACAGAAGGACTACAGGTGCGCATCTATCAGCGGCTATCTTAGTCTATCAGTATCATCAGTATTCTATCAGTAGCTTCAGTATTCTAATTTCTATCAGTATTCTATCAGTATCTTCAGTATTCTATCAGTATCTTCAGTATTCTATCAGTATGCACGTAATCTTAGTGGAGCGGGGATAGTGTGCGTGTCATCCTAGTGTCGGTGAGTAGATGTGTGATGTGTATTCATCATGTTCTCTCTGTGTGTGTGAGTGATTGTCAGGCTTCTGTTGACAGTAACTTTGTAACCGTGCTGGTTCATGTGTAAGTCACTGTTGACAGTAACTTTGTAACCGTGCTGGTTCATGTGTAAGTCACTGTTGACAGTAACTTTGTAACCGTGCTGGTTCATG